GTCTTTATGATGCACAAAGGAGATTTGTACGTTATCGTTCTGCTTGTTTTTCTGTTGGAACGAGGGGCTGGTCTCCCTGGGGGTCTCTGGCTGACCGGAGAGCGCCCAGACTGACTGCCCGAGTGGGGAGCGCTGAGCCTTGGGGTGAGCGTAGGGTAATAAACCAGACCGACCTGCTAGATCGGGCATTAGAGGTGCCCTGCGAGCGAAGCCCGGCTAAGAAGGGGGCAGTGGCTATTTAAAACGCGGTGGAGTCTGTTTTTGTGGTGCCGGCACCTGTTTAACTCCAATGCCCAAGGAAGACTTGCGAGAAAAGCTCTCTGAGCTAAAGTTTGGCTCAGTGCCACCTGCCCTTCCAGGAGAGGCTGAGAAGCTCATGCCACGTTTCTCAGTCCGCCCAAAGCTCAGGGAAGAGGAGACTTGATATTCCTGACGTAGCTGTAAGGTGAAAAACAAGCAGACCCCTGCCCCCTTCCTGTTCTGTTCTAGTCTCTCTGCCCTTTATGCATCATGAGAAAGGGCAAAAATCCAATTTTTTCCGCTTTGCAGATTTGCACCTTTAAGTTTAGCCCAAGTGAGCCTGCTGCGAACTCTCTCCCCTGGGATCTCTCCCTCCCCTGCAGCTGCATGTTCTCATCTAGACACCGGCCGGGCGGGTCTGCGTGCCGGCCGGGCGGGTCTGCGTGCCGGCTGGCCGGGCGGGTCTGCGTGCCGGCCGGGCGGGTCTGCGTGCCGGCCGGGCGGGTCTGCGTGCCGGCCGGGTAGATCAGGGGCTACTCTCAGCCAGGCACAGACCAGGGCTGGATGCGGTAATTGGCAGTATTACGGTGACGCTCTAATGGCCCTAGATCAGGGTCTCATTATGGTGGGCTCTGGATATACCCAGAGTCAGAGACAGCCCCTGCCCCCAGGTGCTTATAGGCAAATCTAAATAACCCAGACAAAGGTAGGGAGGAGGTAAGTGTTAACCTCCCATTTGGCCACTGGAGATACTAAGTGACACACCCAGGGTCACATGGGGAGTCTGTGGCAGAACCAGGAACTGCCCCAGGTCCCCTGAGCACCAGCCCACCCCGTGCCCACCAGGCCAGCCTTCCTGAGCAGTTGCCCCACCCCTCATAGGACAAGCTCAGGACACCCCCAGGCTTGAAGCCACATGGGGCTGGTTCGCAGAAGATCAGAGATAGAACCTGTCTTGGGGAAGATAAAGGGAGGTGACTCAACCGGCCGTGGGGCCCTAGGCTGGGGGGTGAGTGGGGCAGCTTGGAGGACGTGACCATGTACGGTGCCCACAGACTCCCCTCCCGCCTGCCCCCATTGAGGATGGTGGATAAAGATGCCACTGAATCCGTAGGTCCCGAATGGGGACTCTTCTTGTGTTTCAGGCCCTGGTGTCGTTCGAGGACGTGGCGGTCTATTTCTCCCCGGAGGAGTGGGCGGCGTTAGCCGAATGGCAGCGGGAGCTGTACCGGGACGTGATGATGGAGAATTACGAGCTCATCGCCTCGCTGGGTGAGGATCAGGCCCTGTTAGAGTCTGTGAAAGGCCCTGGCCGGTGCCAGAGTGGGATGAAATCCACCCCGAGGGAGACCCTCTAGCCAGTCTCAGACCGTGCCTCTCGGGCAGCGAGTGAGCTCTGTGCATGGTCCAGGTACGGCCCAGCCCCACGCCAGCCCTTTTCAAGGGAACGTTGAAATCCTGCAGGGCACCCGCATGTCCCTTCAGACATGCCTGGGAAACGGGCTGAACCGCTCTGTCCCCTCCACCGGGCCCAGGGGCTGCAGGTACCTCCCATCCCTCAGCAGCTGCCTCTCCCAGCGGGGGTGAGGAATTCAAACCCGCTCCAGGTCCCGTGGGCTGCACCTCGCAGGGCGGCTCCGGTTCACACACTGCTGTTACGTGTGGACACAGCACTGCGGGAGCTGGGCACATCCCAGTCAGTAGCCCCCCGTGTGTCCCTGCCCCAAGGGGTTTGCAGTTGGAACGAAGAGCCCCCGTGACTGCATCTCCCACTCACATCCGACGCGTTGCAAATCGCCTCTTCCGGCGGCGGACACAGGAAACCCAGACTGTGGGTCTCTCCCCATGCCCAGGTTCTGCAGGCCCCAAACCGGAAATGATCTGTAAAATGGAGCGAGGGGAAGAGCCACACGCCACCGCTCCCCCGGGCGAGAGGGACAGAGGAATCCTGGACGCCCCCAGCACAGGTGAGCGGCACCGATTTCCCCCTCCCTGCAAACTGCTCAGAGACAAAAGAGCAGAAACGTTGTGCAACGTTCAGTCCCTGTCCCGGGGGCAGATGAGCAGAGGGGGACTCAGGCCTGCGCTGGCCGATCAGTATCCCCAAGAGACGTTCATGCAGCAGTGGCCTGGGCCAGGCCCCTCTGCTAGGGCTAAAGGGGGGCTGGGGGTAGGAGTGCCGGTGCCAGCTCTCTGCCGCTCATGGCGGCTGTCTGCCTGCTCTGTGCTGCGGGGGCAGAGCAGGGCAGCGAGGGTGGCCCCCGATCACCCTGGGCTCCTTGCTCTGCAATGAGATCTGCGGCAAGGCCGTTCCTGCAGGGAGATCGGGCACACGGTCAGGGAGCTCACTGATCTACCATTCGTTACCCACGCCCTGTGTGCCCGTCCAGGTCGTATCCCCGAGGGGGAGCGTGCCGTGACCACACACACCTCAGCCTGTGCCCTGAATCTTTGCCCCACGTTTGCCGCAGAGCGGGCACCGGCAGAGACACTGCCCTGTCTCTAAAGCCCAGCCCCACCCACCCCAAACTCACTCACTCAGTGCAGCGCGGGGGCAGAGGTGTGGCTCTGGGCGCTGTGTGAGCCCAGGGCCGGTGGGAATCGGCAAAGGCGTGTGATGTTAACGCTCGTTGGTACCAGCGGAGTGTCTGGCCTCCCCCAGCCCCTTCCCAGGGTGTAACTGTTTGGTTTGGTCTGTCCAACAGCTGGCTGGGGAAGGCGTGTCAAGGAGGAGCTGTCTGTGGAGAGCTACAACGACCAGTGGGTGCCACACACGTCGCTGGCCGGGGGAGCCGAGGGGTTTGTGCTGGAATATCCTGCCCTGTGGTGCGAGGTGAAGCAGAGGGACCTGGCGGGAGATGCCCCCCAGCAATCCCCGGAGTGGGAGGGGAGGGACGGTGCGTTCCTGGGCGGCACACTGGCCATGATCCACCCGGGGAGCGAGGGCCCCCTCATCTGCTGCGAGTGCGGGAAGAGCTTTGATGACGAGGCCTCACTGAGCGCCCACCAGCGCCTGCACCCGGGCGCCGGGCCCCACGAGTGCCGGGCCTGCGGGAAGAGCTTCCGTCACCGCCGCAACCTCTTGACCCACAAGAAGCGGCGGGGGAAGAGCCGGCACGCCTGCACCGAGTGCGGGAAAAGCTTCTGCCTCAAGGGCGACCTGCTGCGGCACCGGGCGGGGCACGCGGGCGAGGGCGGGCACGCCTGCAGCCTGTGCGGGGAGAGCTTCCGCCACAAGAGGAACCTGTTGGCCCACAGGAAGGAGCACGTCGGGGACACGCCCCACCGGTGCCCCGAGTGCGGGCAGAGCTTCGGCGACCCGGCCAGCCTGGCCCAGCACGAGGCGGCGCACCGCGAGGAGAGGCCCTTTGTCTGCGCCCGCTGCGACCGCAGCTTCAGCTGGAAGGAGAGCCTGATGATCCACCAGCGCAGCCACCCGCAGGAGCGCTCCCACAAGTGCGCCGACTGCGGCCGCAGCTTCAGCCGCAACGGGAACCTCCTCATGCACCAGCGGGTGCACACCGGGGAGCGGCCCTACGCCTGCCCCGAGTGCGACCGCACCTTCTGCAACAAGGCCAACCTCATGGCCCACCGGAAGCTGCACCGGCGCTTCAAGCCCTACGCCTGCACCCAGTGCGGGAGGAGCTTCAGCTTCAAGACCAAGCTGCTCCTCCATCAGAGGGCCCACGGGGACGAGCAGTAGCCCCCGGCCGCTCTGTCTCCTGCAGGCTGCGGCCGGGCCTGGCAGGCTGCGCGGGCTCTGCCGTTGCTAAGGCCCGGGGGCGAAACTCGCCCCTGGGCAGAGGGCTGGCGCGAGGCCTAGGCGTTGTCTCAGCCTGGGGGTCCCGTGGGCCATGGAGCAAGACCCCAGCCTTTGAGGGGAAGCTCTGCTGTCTTGCAGAGCCCTGGGTGGGTCACTCTGGGGGAGTTCTGCCGTTGCTAAGGATGGGGGTGAAATTCACCCCAGGGCTGAGGGCTGGCGCGCATGCAGGACTCAAGCGGTGCCGAGGCCTTGCCAGCCAGCCCTCTCCCGGGGTGAATTTCACTGCTCGGCAGTATATTGCAGTGCGTCCTCATTGTAAGGCTCCAGACTCACCCTGGGCCTGGCCGCCCTGAGAGCTACATCCCCCTCCTCAAATGGCAGTCCCACGGCGCGCCAGTGGGCGTCCTGAGCCCCCCCCACAGTTACCCAGCCCACCGGAGGCGGTGATGGGCTTAGAGAGTCGTAGCAGCGAAAGTCAGAAGAGATTGTTCTGACCATCCGGTCTGGCCTCCTGCTTCACCCAGGGCAGAGAATCTCACCTGGGGTTCCTGCAGCCCCCTCCGAAGGATCATTGGGCAGTTTCTGAGAGAGGTCAGGGCACTAGCCAAAGCCTTGGGTTCATGTCCCTGCTCTGCTACAGATTTCTGGGTGACCTTGGGCATGTCCCTTAGCCTCCCAGGGCCTCGCTGCCCCAGCTGTGCAATGGGGATACCAGCCTGCCCTGCCCATGGGGGGTGGGATGGGGATAAATACAGTAATGGGGCGCCCAGATA